AATACCTCAGAATCAGCCAAGGCTTCTTGCAACGCTTCTCTGGTATCTTTCGAGAGGCGTAGTAGCTCGTACAGCGTGATTCTTGCTGGGATATTAGCTAATTGAGCCATGACGTCGAAACGGTATGGTGCGTTCGAGCTTTCCGGATTATCTCGTCCAATCGGTCGGTTGAAACGAGACTGCTTCGGAACTTGAACCTCTTTACGTTGAGGTTCCTTCTCTTTTTGCTTAGCCGCTTGTTGCGGCTTTTCAGTAGCTACTGGAGGAGTTGCAACTACCCCCAGCTCGCATTTGGGTTAGAGGTTTCAGGATATTTATAATGATATTCATTCCCACCCCTTGTAGCGAAAGATTCCTGCTCTTCTTCAGAAAGCGGTAAAGCTGGAATCTGTTCATCATTCTTCTCGGGAATTGCCTTCTTCAATGTGGATGTCGTCCACTGTTCATCTTCAAGTAAATCCGGATGAACCCAAAGGATTTCGCCGTTGGGGGTTGTGTGAGATACAAGCCCTTTTTGGCGCTGTCCATAAGGATTATCGTTGATGGTCTGCATCTTGACCTTTGATACTGGTTCGGTTGAAACCAGGATAAAGGAACCGATCCAAAGCTGATAGACACCGCATTTGCACCTACTTTCTTCTCTTTCTTGAAACCAGGATAAAGGAACCGATCCAAAGCTGATAGACACCGCATTTGCACCTACTTTCTTCTCTTTCGGCTTTGGTGTCACGATACCAACATCGATTAAGGTTTGTATTTTGTCTTTTAAGACATAACACGCCTTAGTGGGATGGTGGACCCTTCTGTGATATGCACAATACTTCGGGTTATTAGTCTTCGTTGATTCTTCTTGGTTTGTGACCGGTGGAAGCTTGATCTTATTGTTATCCAGCAGGTATTCGAAGATGACTGGAACTTCATCATCCTTAAAAGAATACTCCTTCGGGAATTTAGGCTCTGAGGCCTTAAACTGCTTCGGAGGCTGTTGATTCTGATTCGGCGCCAATTGGAAGGATGACTGCTGTGGTTGTTGTTGTGGCTGGGGGGGTGTTTTTTTCGCATCAACAGCAGCCCCAGACCCTCTTCCTCTACGGCAGTCCCCTCTCCAACTTCTTTCTCTTAAGAAAGCGCTCGGCTTGTTCACCTCTCACTTTCAACTCTTTCCAAGTTTTAGAAGGCACAACCCCCATGACTTCTAACACATCGAGCGACAAGTTATTATGATATGTCTGTAGGATAAACTCTTCTGTGAGTGGATCTCAGCAGTTTAACGCTTTGTTCCGGAATCGTTTGACGAAGACATCAACCGACTCTCCATTTATCTGCTTCTCATCCAACAAGGTGCCAATTGAGACCTCCGTGTCGTCGTCGAAGAAATTGGTGAGGAACAATCCTTCCATATCTTCCCAGCTAGTGATACTCCCAGGTTTGAGGCGTTGGTACCAATCGAAGGCAGGCCCGCGAAGGGTTCCTACGAATGACCGGACTATCAAGGCTTTGTTTTCGGATATCGCACCGAGATGTGACTTGAAATAAATCAAGTGTTGAGTGGGTGAAGCCCTGCCATCAAAAGGAGTAAAGTTAATCAAATTAAACTTTGGGGGATAAGGAATTAGATCCCACTCCCTCGGGTACGGGTACAGAATGCCCGTTTTCTTCACTTCTTGGGCCGTCATCAGAGCATTGACTTTGCTCTCGAGATCCAATTGATCTGGCGTGATTGCGAAAGATTCTCTGACTCGCCCAACACTAGACGTGGTATCATCCGATGCAACGGCAGAACAAGTATCTGACAGTTATTCCTCTGAAGATAACCCCTCGTGCATTCTCTTGTAGTCCCGACGTCGACTGGCTCTTCGTTGTAACCGCGACATTCTTTGAGATAGACCCCGCTCAACTCTCCCTTCTAGAGAGAAATCAGGGTCAGGGTTGACTAATAACTGCTTTCCTCTGCCGGTCATGTTAATAGTGACTTTAGGGAATTCATCTCGCTGAATTGCAGGTCTCTTCTTGTTGAAACGTCTCATTGTAGGTCTTGACGCTTCAGTGGAAAGTCTTTGAAATAAGGAGACTCTAGTTGAATTAGTTTTAGAGCATCCGCATTCTGTCAGCACTGCCTTAATGAGTCTCTCACAGGAATAGTGAGACTCGTTTTCTCGTACAGTTCTATTTCTTGAATTATTTTTCTGATAGTACAGCTCATCACTATTGTGATTTGAGCAACCTATCTGTGGTTTCTGAACCTTGTTAACATGCACAGGGTGATCAGTCATCGCCTTTGTGCGATCCAAAGTTAAATTTTTAAATACACCCCCATGAGGGTGTGGAATTTTCATAGGTCCTAAACGAGAGTGAACTGGTATTCTCTCATTTTGGACTGGTGCAGTTCTGACAGGAGGGTGTTTACGACCCCCTGTATAAGAAACCACCAAGGGTTTATTTGCTGAATCTGATTGTTCTTTGACTGGGGCTTTGCCTCGATCGTCAACCGAAGGACCGAGGCGATCCGCCATTGTGATCTTGAACCATGATAAATCTGGACTAACCCATGGTTTCACTGGTGATACAGTAGACGGGCCCGGAATGGATGTTTGCGGCGCCTTCGGAACCCAAACTTTACGGTTATTTGGTGGCTTTTCAGACACTATTTCTTTCCCAAACTTTACGGTTATTTGGTGGCTTTTCAGACACTATTTCTTTCTTGGTTCCTTGTATTTGTTGACGACGGGCACGAGAGACACTATTTCTTTCTTGGTTCCTTGTATTTGTTGACGACGGGCACGAGCTCGAGCGGCTTTTGCCTGATGTTTTTGTATATGTTCCTTGAGGGTTGAACGAGCTCTTTTGACGAGAGTCCATTCCTCCGTCGTAAGTTTTACAGAAATATGATTATTTTGCCGTTGAGGCAATTAAACCGCTTTTTGTTTTCTTGACTCTAGGTCCGCATAATAATGGACCCCGTCGGTTTGTTGCATAGCCTTAGCCAATTGACGCGCACGACGCTGGCGCTGTCTCTGACGAACTCTTTTCGTCAGCACCGGTGAGCCATTAATCAACGACTCCTTGACTGGTACAGAGTCGTTTGGAGCAGAGATGTCGCAGGTAGATTCTTTAGCAGCAATTGGGCAAGAACCTTCACCCATGGCCTTCATTGGCATTGTAGACTTAAAATTTTTCTTTGGAGATGAAAACTTCCTACACTTACGAGGTGAGGAAAGTTTTGATTATGAGGATGACAAATACTCCTCAAATTTCACCTGATCGAACTCATATTCGATCTCTTCGTTGACAACGATCTTGATCGGTTGTGACACTGCGGCCTCGGCAGCGAGGCCGCTGGCTCCCACTGTGGTCGCCAGTTTGTTTTCTTCAAAAGTTGGTTTTGCTGTGGAATTCATTATTTTTTTTGTTTGATTACAACAAATTCAAAGAAATGGTCTTTTTATAAGACCTCTTTTACACAACAAAGAGAAAATTACAACCTTTGAGAAAATAACACAAAAATCATCTATCGATTCTTGTTTTGTGGGACTTTGCCTGTGCCGGGAACGCTTTGGTTCATGGACCGCCGAATCACAGATCGTGAAGGGGGCTTAATGATTCTTCCTTCGTTTATCGAAGTAAGAATTTAAAACGATATCTTATCAAAGTAAGATAGTCGTTCTTCTTAACATTAAGTCGAAGCTCAAATCTCAAGGAATCACACTAAGAACTAAAGTCTACTCTCTCTCTGCTCTGGACTGCTCGAAAATATGCTCGATCCTCGTCATAAATGACCCTAGGGGGGTATTTATAGCCTCTGGGGTCTGTAACTACAAAAACTCAACAAAACAACAACGTTAGGCCGTGAGACAGTGTTTACTGTCTCGGCGGGCGAGACAGTGTTTGCTGTCTCGGCCCGCGAGATAGTAAATACTGTCTCAGAAATAGTAACTGTCTGGCAGTTTTCATTTTAACTGCCTTCCCACATTTTAAACTCTGTTATTTTGGTAGTTATTCACGTGATTTTCGCCCACGATGTTTCTCACGTCCCTTGGCAGTTAATGGACACGTGTAGGGCAGTTATCAAGGTGGTTTTTGACCATTTCAATACTGTCTCGCTGGCGAGACAGCAAAGTCTGTCTCGCTGGCGAGACAACAAAGTTTGTCTCGCTGGCGAGACAGCAAAGTCTGTCTCGCTTGTGAGACAGTTCATTCCTGTCTTGATTTTCCAAAAACAGTATGAGATCGATTCTTGTGATTTTTTGATGATCTTCTCTATGTTTGGGATACCTATTAGCATTTTTTGACGCCTACAATAGGTTCGCTCGCCAATTTGGGTATGATCAGTTGTACGTCGGGAACCCTCGACCTCAACTCTCAGTTGTGAGCAATTTATATGAAGGAGCCAGGGCTTGGTATTATTCTGTGGCAGGTTGTACTAAGGCTATCTTCAGGCTTCCCCACAAAACACCCAACTCCTACACTTCCATAAGCTTCTGTAATTGGTATTTCGCCGCTTCTCAGACTCCCAATTACAACCTGAATACATCTTGCCTAAAAGACATCAGGCATATGTATGCTTCGAGAAGGGGGTCAAAGACTTCCTGCTTAAGAGGGATTGACGAATTTCTGTCTATCGAGAACCAGCCTGCTGGACAAGAAGAAGAACAAAGAGCTGAGCCTGTTCCGGTAGAAGAACAACGAGTGGTCGATCCTCCCGCGATGAAAGCAGCGGGGAAAAGAAAACTTTCTGCGGATGAAGCCGGCCAATATGACAAACAGACTCATCGGAAGTTGATTGTTGATTCCCCTCCCCCCAAAGGCCAACAAAAGCCCAAGTTGATGGCTGATGCCATCAGAGCTGCTGAAGATGAAGAACAGCAAGAATCTTCCGTGGCAGGCCTGCCACATAGAACTGGGCAGCCCTGCCACATAGAACTGGACTTCGTTCTCATGGCCCAGCCTTATCGAGCGAAGCTTCTTCTTACCATCCCCCTGTGGGCGAAGAGGGCGAATTAATGGCTACAGATGCAGAATCTGCTCTGGTGATGGACCTTCCTAGATCTCCTGCATTAGAACCAGGGGGTCTCGAAGAGAATCCATCCCCTCCTCCTTCAGCATTAATGTCCCAAGCTAGTGATTTAATTCCCAGTCCTACAACGGGACTTATGAATAGACCAGCTGCTGGCACAAATCTTTCTGAACCTTCCGCCATCGGGGATGATGAGGAGCGAGTAGATTATGAAGGCTCCTCAACTGGTGACGCAGCTGACGAAGATAGAGATGATGATGAGGATGCTGACGTTGGCAACATGCCAGGTGATGACGCAGGGGACGACGAGCATAATTCTATGGATGATATAACCCTTTTTGATGATGTTCCCAAGGTCCCATCCGATAAGGCATCGGGTTATACTCCTTTTCACATCTCTGGTAAGCCTAGTTTTCTTTGAATTCTTCCGCATGTTCTTTCCGCGTTCTGACCCTTTTTTTTTGTGCAGGTTCGCCTCCTACCAAGACTACTGCTGCTACTACTTCGGAGCAGGATCCTGTGCAAGTGTCAGCTCCTCCACAAGAGCAACATTTACCTGGCTCACCCACGTCAGCTGCTTCACCTGTAGCACCGCCTGAAACTATTGTTACGACTCCTCCTTTGGAACAGCCGGTCGTGCAGGTGTCAGCTCCTGTGCAAGAGCAGCCTCTACCTATCTCATCTACTGCAGCTACTTCATCTACTGCATTGATGAAGATCTCACTTACGCCAGCAGAAGCGAGGCCAAGCACGTCTCAGGCAAGAGCAATGATGGCTTTGACCTCAAGCCCATCACAATTGAATGTTTCTACCGCTTCTGCAGCTTCAGCGCCCGGATCTCCTGCACCAATTTCAATGGCTCTGGGAGCATCCTCCAGCATCACTTCAAGTCTCTCGGGTGCACCTGAGTTCCTTCAAATCTCCTTGGTATATTTGAATAGCCTCGCAAAGAAGGTAATTGAATATGTGGTGAGTGGTCAGGGAACTTTCAATTCTTTCCGACCTCTTTTGGAAGCAGGCTTGAACAGTGTCAGAAGTGTGGGAAACACTCCGTGGTTCGAGCGCTATTCTGAGATTATCCTTCGTTTGGAAGAACAATTATAGCATTTTGAGGTATTGGGTCGCAGAGAGCTTCAGCCACAAATTGTGTCTACTTTGGCCAGTCTTCAGGTTGTAGAAGTGGCTCGCCGGGAGGCGATAGAACGGGACTTGGCTGAAAGAAAACGTCAAATCACGGAGATTCGCGAGCGTAATATTCGGAAGCGAGAAGAGTTAGAACGCTCGACTACTTCTATGAATTCGCTTCGTGATAGACTTGTTGAAGCTGAGGCTGAAGTCCTGCGATTAAAGGCTAAACTCGCCCGCGAGGAAAATGTTGTCAATATCCTTAGCACCCAAAATGCTACTGGAGCTTTGGAATATCACACGCAGGCTCGAGCTTTGGAACAAGCCAGAAATGAAGCAGCAGCTATCATCACACCCAGTGAGGAAGAACTCCGGGCAAAGGCTGAAGCCCTGGTGCGCACCACTCACGAGGAGGAGCTAACTGAAGTTAGGACCCAACTTGTTTCTTTTGATTTGATGCATGAGTGAATTTTGCACTTGTAATGTTCTTTTGGTAAGAACAAGTTTGTCTTGTATCACTTTCTTTTGGTTCTTGAATAAAAAGTGATATTGATTCCTCATTGTTTCTTGCATTTATCGTGTTTTGATTTTAAGCAACAAATTATGAGAAATACCTAAGATGTATTCCTGATTTAGAATAGATCTCCACCATGATTCTAGTGCAGAAAACTCTCTTTATTATCGTTTAAGATAACTCCAAAAAGTTTTAAACTGCTGAGGATTAATATTTATTATTTTCCCGTAATGGGGTTGACTACTAGAATTCTTCCTGTGTTACTTTTGCTTGGAACACTAAAAGAAGTCTATAAATGCAAGAGGTATAGCTTTTTAACTTGGCAGGGGGAATATTACGATCAGGGCAATTTTGAGGACTTATCGCTCTATTGACGAGAATCGATAAGTTGATTTTATCAGAGGTGTAATTTTAACGTGTCAGGAGAAATATTACGATCAGGGTAATTTTGAGGACTTATCACTCTATTGACGAGAATCGATAAGTTGATTTTGTCAGATGTGTAATTTTAACGTGACAGGAGAAATATTGCGATCAGGGCAATTTTAAGGACTTATCGCTCTATTGACGAGAATCGATAAGTTGATTTTGTCAGAGGTGTAATTTTAACGTGACAGGAAAAATATTGCGATCGGGGTAATTTTGAGGACTTATCGCTCTATTGACGAGAATCGATAAGTGGATTCTGACAAAGGAGCTATAGCCGCATTGGTATTAATGCCAGCTAAACTTAGACTCTGTAGGGATGATGATCGTCTGGGATGTAATAATATCCCGATGAGAATTTAGATTTTGCTGATGAGATACAGAGGTTTTGATCAACACTCTGTTAAGAGGGCTCATGACTTTGAGGAATAAGTGTCGTGTTTGAAGACACAAGTGTAGGTTCTTCACTTAGAAGAATTACAACGCTAAGGTGACCTTTGCGTTTGAGGTTCAAAATGTGAGGTTCAGGCCTTCGTGACGCTGGCTTGAGCCTTGCACTTGGGATTTTGAACGCGGTTGTGAACTTCGCGTTTCAAAGATGGTTGGGATTCACTCCTAGAATGCCATGCCATCTTAACAGCTTGACGATTGTTATAAATAGACCTGAGTGGTCACTTCAAGAGTTACTTGACTCTCAAAATTTTCAGCTATTTCCAAGAACGAGAACTCTCGTTTGATTTTGGCGAAATCTCTGACGAACTCCGTCTCCCTCGTTCGTAAACGATTCCTCCGATCGTTTGTGTTGATGGCGCCTCGAAGAATGGGTTCAAGCTCCAAGAAGGTCGCTGGAACGACTTCCGAAACGCCGTCGGCTGAGGACGCCGGCGATGTTCTTGTTCGTGCGGGGGCATCGTCATCGTCATTGCCGCCGCAAGGGCTTCCCTGTCATGGTAAGTGTTGACCGAAATAACTTGCCTTGATAAGTTCTTTGAAAACCCTAGATGGGTTCTTGATAACGAGAAAGATGACTCGTTCTTGTTCGACGAAAACGCGAGGTTAGGATTCCATGTGGGTCTCGACTCTCGCGTTTAAGTTTTTTCAACACGAGGTTCGACTCTCGCGTTTGAGATTTCGGACGCGAGGCTCGACCTTCGCGTTTGAGATTTTGTATTTATGTTAACAGCTCGCTTCTAGTTGCTAACCTCTGTTTTTGATTGTGCAGTGCTTCTCCCAAACGTGCCGCTTTCACAAGAGCATCATTTTGGGTATATCAGAGGACCTGACGCGAATAAAATATTCAGTCTTTAGAGTAGAATTCCATTGTGTACCTTCCCTGACTCGAAGAGAGCGGATATGATTAAATTCCCTCGATGCTCTACTCTCAGAATTATGATTACCGACTTAGACTTGGAGACCCCTACCGGTCATGCCCAGTTTCCCAAACCAGCATTCATATTTGGAGATCATATACCTGTCGATGATCACCTCACATATGTGGAAGATTCAAGGTTGTTGCGGAGAGTTGATAATCGCTTTTTATTCCTCCCAAACATGAATAGGATGTACCCACTCTCCTATTTCTTGAATGTGAGCTGTCGTCGGGGTTTGACCTTCGACATAGCCAAAGAGAAAGAGAATGTGTCGCTTGGATTTGGTCGGCGGGCTCATACACAAATCGGAGGACAACTCAAGGGGTTGAGACCCGGTTTATTTGAGAAGAAGGATCCGATTCAGGAGATGCCACGTCCAGCGAACATCTTTATTCGTTAATTCCTTGCAACTCAGGGTGAATTTTCTACCCAGATGTTCAGATCCCCTGGATGGGTCTGTTCTGGAGAAGGAGGTTGGTGGACCCGCATGGTTGACTTCGTTCTTGAGGAGCTTAAGGAGTCACTCGCTCAATCAGGTCTCACAGTTCTCGTGTTAGCTACTCGACGGGGTGTCGTGCAGAGTTATCACAATTTCTTTGCTATGTTGGAGAAATATAACCCGGACAGTTGCACATTCTTCACACCTACAGGAGAATTAGGTTTTGCTCTTCATGAGATGCAAGCAGTGTCGGGGTTGCTATTCGGAAAAACGCCCTACGAGGAGTTCATCCCCACCACCGAGGAGATTTCCCTACTGAAGGTGGCGCACCCGGAAATTTATGCTACTTTCTGGGAGTTGATGTGTCACTTCCACATATGTGCCCAAGTCTTTGGGATGCGTGGAGGGGGCATTATGCATACCACGTGGGCGTAATACCTTTTTCAGAACTTAAACCGGATAGATGTAGCCGTATCTTGTGTTGCAGCTGTCTCTCCTAAGGACGCTAAAGCTCGAATTAAGGCTTCCAGTGCTACCTATAAGACAAAGCATGCAGAGAATGATTTTGAGGCTGGTGTCGAATTTGAAAGTTTCCATCACCAAGCCACAGTTCCTATTTCTGACACGGCTCTTCTTGCGGGCTTCCTTATGATTTGGTTGAAGTGGTGTGTAGTACCGTCGAAACCAATTAAGGCAACACTAGTTGAAGTTGTGTACCCAGCTACTTTGCTAGCGCATGGGAGGCCTGTGAGTCTCCTTACTGCTATGGTTGGCTGTATACAGAATGGCTTGAGGATGTTGACCTCAGAACTTCTCTGCGCTTCAGGAATCAAAGCTACCAAGAAGAAGGCTGGGAAAGCCCCTCAACCACGTATACCAGTGCTGTATACATATCCAGTGGCCTGGTTTGTGTTGCATTGCCCTTCATTCATGACGGGAGTATACAAGGGCGATGACGCTTATATTCCCTTTGTACAGAGATTGGAGTCGGCCACGTGGACTAATTGTTATATAGTCAAGGCTCGACAGCTTCTATCCCTGGAAGATAATTACCGTATTTTCTGTTGTGCTCCAGATTTTGACGGAGCTGACGTGGAAGATGCCCTCTTTATGGATTTGCTTTTTGAGGGTTTCTTTTGCTTCCTTTCGAGAGAGGCATCGAAGCAAAATTCCATCATGTGACTTACGATACAGGACTTGGGAGACTGCATCGTAATAGAATTGGAGGGCCTTTCGTTTGATAGAGGCCGCTTCCTTAGGGTCATCGGGCAGAATTCCATATATGGCGTAGTCGATGTACAGGAATCGCCAATCCCTGGATTCAAACTCGATAGTGGTTGTACAGACTTCTCCAGTCGATGTCTTGTCTGGCTTTTCCTCCATAGGAATCTTAGAAAAGTATAATTTGCGTCCTGAGACTGGAATCATTGTTTCAGTCTCTGGCGGCAATGCTAATTAAGTTGCCAAGGAGGCTAAAGCATCTGCATAAGCGTTCTGGGCCCGTGGCACGTATTCGATAAAGAAACCTTCGAACTTTTGAGCTTTCTTTAGCACTACGAAGTAATACGGGATCAGATCCTCATGACGTACTTCGTATTCCCCTCGGACTTGGTTAACGCTGAACTGAGAGTCACCATAAGCCTCGAGGTGCTGAATATTAAGTTCTTCAGCAAATTGCATTCCTAATAGCAGCTGAGAGTCACCATAAGCCTCGAGGTGCTGAATATTAAGTTCTTCAGCAAATTGCATTCCTAATAGCAGAGCATTATACTCGGCTACATTGTTGGTGCAAGGTTCGATTAGGGAAAATCCCCTTGGGATCACATGACCGTTCAGGGAAATGAGTACGACCCCCACTCCTGCGGTAATTGCTCCATGAGGATTTGCTCTAGACGTACCGTCGAAGAATAACTTCCACACTTGCGTAGCCTCTTGAGCAGCGCAAGCTTCAGCGACTTCGTCAGGTAATTCTTCATACAACTTAGACGTTCCTGATACTGGGTGATCGGCTAAGAAGTCTGCCGGTGCTTGACCCTTGACCGCCTTTTGAGGCATGAACTGCATGTCGTATTGTGACAAGAGAATAGCCCATTTTGCAAGCCGGCAATTTAGAGATGATGGTTTCGTTATCAGAACTCTCAAAGGATTCACCTTAGAGATGACGCGGATTGTTTGTTCAACTAGGTAGTGTCGCATCTTTTGAATTGCGAATACCAAGGCGGGACATTCTTTTTCGACCGGATTATACCGGTGTTCGGCTCCCATCATAGTCCTGCTCAGGTAATAGATGGCTTGCTCTTGATCTTGATCATTTTTCTGGGCTAGCAAAGCCCCAAGAGAATGGTCCATGGCCCTCACATATAACAGGAATGGTTTTCCTGATATCGGGGCTATGAGAACTGGCGGTTGAGTGAGATATCTCTTAATCTCCTCGAATGCTTTTTGACACTCTGCATCCCAAACAAAGGATACTCCTTTCTTCATGAGCTTAGAGAAAGGTTGGCAATGCCCTGAAAGATTTAATATGAATCTTCGAATGTAGGCCAGTCTGCCTTGTAAACCTCTGAGCTCTTTGAGATTCTTCGGAGGTGGCATGTCTTGGATGGCACGCACTTTCTCTGGATCAAGAGAAATTCCCTTGGAGGTAACAATAAATCCCAGGAATTTTCCGCTTTCATCTTCAGCTGATGTGCTCGCATGATTTCGAACATTGTCTTCA